CCGGCAGTGGACACGTGGCGCACTGTCTTAGTGGTTTTCAGAGACTCAGGCTCAGCTGACTCACTAGGGATGTGGCATCAGCCACGGATTCTCTGTCTGTAAGGTGGTGGCCATGATAACGCAGCAGGCCCTCAGCAGTTGCAAGCCACTGCCACTCCTCGTGAGTTTCTGAGGTCCACTGAGCATCAGCCCCCTTCTGAGGAGCACAATGAAAGACTTTGGAGGCTACGGCTAGACAGAACTGTCACCCCGGAGGTGTAGATGGGGTGTGGATTCCAGAATATGGAGCCCAGCTTCAGGAAGGGCACAGCACACGCCCAGGCATCGAGAGCTCAGAGTTGGACCTCTGACATGGGTGGGTAACATCAGCAAGACAAGAGAGACACAAGAGAATGATGCAAGCCGGGCACGGTGGCTCAAGCCTGTAATCCCAGCACTTTGGGAGGCCGAGGCGGGTGGATCACGAGGTCAAGAGATCGAGACCATCCTGGTCAACATGGTGAAACCCCATCTCTTCTAAAAAAATACAAAAGATTAGCTGGGTATGGTGGCACGTGCCTGTAATCCCAGCTACTCAGGAGGCTGAGGCAGGAGAATTGCCTGAACCCAGGAGGCAGAGGTTGCAGTGAGCCGAGATCGTGCCATTGCAATCCAGCCTGGGTAACAAGAGTGAAACTCCATCTCAAAAAAAAAAAAAAAGAGAATGATGCGGAGTGTGACCAACAGCGCAGGATCTCTGGGGATGAATGAGACTGGGGTGGGAGGATTAGGAACTCCTATGTCAGGCACAGGCACTTGGACCTCCTCCCCAGCAGGGAAACGGTGGCCAGAGGGGAAGCTGTAGTCTGCAATGCGTGGTGAGCAGCTCAGAGGACAGGCGGTAGTGTCCTAGGGAAGGAGGGGCCTCTGTAGGGCTGCCATCATGGTGGCTGGAGGCAGGACTCTGTGTCAAATCTGCACGGCTGATGAAATGGGGAGCAGGGGTCTGTCTAGGGTAAAGCCTGAGTTGAGAGGTCAGGGCTGAGGTGTTTGGGCACTGCTAGATCAGGGCTTGGAGACAGAACGGCAGGATCGGCTGGAACAGTACGAAGCGGCCAGCGGGTTCCAGTGGGCTGAGGCACACACAGTCTGAATGCCAAGCAGGTTAGAGCCAGTCAGGGCAGAGGACCGGGAGGAGATAGAAGGCTGGAAAATGCCAGTCTAAGGTGACCTGGAGGCCACTGGGGAAGACTCCCAAAGGATACAGGTGGGATGCCGAGGAAAGGATGCCACCACCTCCTTCACCTACTCACGGCCCCTCTCGGCCCTGCCCCACCCTGTTCCTGGGCCCGCCTCAGTTATTAAGTGCCAAACTGCTACCTCCACCACACCCCCTCCAAGTCCCGCCCATGCCACCTGCTCAAAGCCACATTCCAGCTGCCGCAACAGGGGTGCATGTGATGTCTACCCAGACCACACGCTGGGGCTGCGGTGCCCACTACAGAGTGGGACAGGTTGGGACGCAGCGCCGTAGGGAGAGGGCCTGTAGGGGGGGTGAGGTGCTGGGGATTCTCTAGAGGGAAGAGGCAGTGGCTGACCCAAAGACTAAGCCACAGTCTGGTCTCACAGAGGACAGTGACCTGGCCATGCCTCGGGGGTCACGCTGGTGCAGTTTCATCCCCTGCCAGGCGCTATCCTGGGAGACTTAGGTGGCCGAGCACACTTAGTCCTCACAAACCCTAAGTATGGTCTTCACTGGACAGAGGTCTACATTTCCCAAAACAAAACATGCAAATATGTAAGCCCTACAAAATCTGGCTTCAACCTTCCTAGAAAATGACTTTCCTCGCAAGACAGACATCCTAACAACAGCATCTGCCTCGTGGGTGCCCGGAGCCTGGGATGCTGCGCCCCCTATTTGTACAGTAACACCCCTTCCAGCCTGGGGCCAACTCACAGGTCATGCCCCTCTGAGTCCTCCTGTGACCTCTTCCGCCCCGGTCTCATAAAGGGCTACACAGTATCTGCAGGTTCCCTCCTGCCAGAATGCCCATGTCCCCACCAGGATCCTCCAAGGCAAAAACTGCACTCATGGGCCTAGAGCCAAGCACGGGGACTCAAAAAGCACAACACGTTGAAAAAAAGATGACCGGCTGAATGATCATAGGAAGGAGGGGCCGCAGAAAGTAATGAGGAGGAAGGAGGGAGGGAGCAGAGAGGAGGAAAAGGAAGAAGGGCAAGAGGAGGAGAGAGAATAAAGGCGGGGTAGGAGAGAAAAGAGGGGGGAAGAGAAGGAAGGAGGAAGCAGGTGGACGAGGAGGCCGCTGGGAAGAGAGGAGAGGGGCCAGGCAGGGCGCGGGGACTCCCCCAGGCGCCTGGCTTCAGGAAGACCCTGCAGCTACCATCGAATAAACAGCCCAGGGGAGAGAGCCCACCCGTTGAGGGGTGACAAAAGCCACATCTTAGCCTGAGGGTCACCCTCCATGACTGAGCTATTCAGCTGCCTCCCATGAGTCACCTTAAAGGAACTGGGCCTTAACAAGTCATTGCTGAAGGCCTGATGAGACGCTGTCTCCCAGGGCAGGCAGAACACTATGCAAACAAGATGAAGGCAGGTGCAAATCCCACAGCATCGCCCCAGCCTCTCTCAGCCTCCTCTTTAAAGCTGGAACACTGGACCCAATTCCAGCGTGGCTGGAGAAGTGCAGTGCTTCACATAGCCAGTGCGCAATGAAGGCTCGGGCCCTTGGTCCAATGAGCCAGGAAGTGTCCCGGGAGAAGGAGCCTCTGGAGTGAAGTCTCCTGGGAAACAAGCCCAGGGCTGCCTTCTGGGGCAGAGGACGTGAGGGAACACCAGAGCAGATGCCTCTCTGCCCCTGAGTCCTCCCTCTCACTTCCAACCACAGGGCCACTGCGCCACTGCTGTGGCACAGCCCTGCTGAGGACAGACTTCCAGCCCAGGCCCTCCTTCTTAGGACGCTAGAATAGAGAGCTGAGGAAACAGGTCTATCAAAACATATGACAGGCCGGGCGCAGTGACTCATGCCTGTAATCCTAGCACTTTGGGAGGCCCAGGTGGGCGGATCACAAGGTCAGGAGATCGAGGCTAACCTGGCCAACATGGTGAAACCCCATCTCTACTAAAAATACAAAAAAAATTAGCCGGGTATGATGGCACCTGCCTGTAATCCCATCTACTCAGGAGGATGAGGCAGGAGAATCGCTTGAATCCAGGAGGTGGAGGTTGCAATGAGCCAAGATTGTGCACTGCATTCCAGCCTGGTGACAGAGCAAGGCTCCATCTCAAAAAAAAAAAAAAAAAAAAAAAAAAAAAAAGCACACCCCACACTTCAGCTTTCTCGCCTATGAAACAGGAGGTAAAATGCGTATAAAGTGCTTGGCTCAATACCTTGAAAAGGGCTAAGCCCAGCTGCTGCTCCAGGCCTGCAGAACCCCTCAGCCAGGTAATGAGCATGTGAAGCAGGACAGACCCGGAGGCCCCAGAGGGACCGTATACACATGGATGGGTCTAGATGATCTCTACCTGCACAATCCTTGCTGATTTGACTTCTGTAAGAATTGGGGACCAGCAAGGCAGGGAGTTTGCCACCTACTAAGCAAAGGTTTTAAAATCCAGGGATTACAGGAAAATTAGTGAGAATCCTCAAAAACTTTGCATAGGACATTTATAATACAATGAAAAGCTAACTCGCCATTCACCTTATTGTCTTATAGAGAAGTGGGTCTTCTAAGGCCGTGAAATCTTTACATTCTATGATTCTATGCATGCTGAAAGTCATACATATGCCTTAAAAGCTTACCTTATTTCAGATAAGAAAAACTTTCTTAAAATTATTTTAAACGTGTGAATGTTTTGTATTCAAGAAAAATAAAAGGCAAAAATGTAATGGCTAATCTCCTCCAAAACCAACACACTCAAGAGTCAAAATTTTTTATCTGGAGAGGCCAGGCACGGTGACTCATGCCTGTAATCCCAGAACTTTGGGAGGCCAAGGAAGGCAGATCATGAGGTCAAGAGACAGAGACCATTCTGGTCAACATGCTGAAACCCTATCTGTTCTAAAAAATACAAAAATTAGCTGGCTATGGTGGCACGTGCTTAAGAGTCCCAGCTACTTGAGAGGCCAAAGCAGGAGAGTCTCTTGAACCAGGAGGCAGAGATTGCAATGAGCCACCACTGTACTCCAGCCTGGCGACAGAGCAAGACTGTCAAAAAAAAAAAAAAAGATTATCTGGAGAAATAATTGTTTTGATCATTAATCAAGCTGTAATCACAACAGCTGTATTTCGTACTTTTGGCTATTAACGATACATAAATATTCTATTTCTGCACCCACACGCTGGGAGGCCTGTGATCATGTGAAAGAATGCAAGTTACAGTCAAAACACAGTCAGAAGTGAGTGGCCGAGTGAGGACATTAATTTCCATGTTAGGTATCTCCAGGGGCTCTGGTATGAAAGAGAATCAAGAACGAAGATTCATTCTGTCCCTTTCATTAAAGTGGTTTTATTCAGAAAGTTAACGAAATGCCTTAAGGCAGTGGTCACCAATCTTTCTGGCACGAGGGACCGGTTTCATAGAAGACAATTTCTCCACAGACTGGTGGAGGATGGTTTCAGGATGAAACTATTCCACCTCAGATCATCATTCTCCTAAGGAGTGTGTAACCTAGGTGGCTCACACACAAAGCTCCCAATAGGGTTCGCGCTCCTATGAGGATCTCCTGCCACTGCTGATCTGACGGGAGGCGGAGCTCAGGCAGTCATGCTCCCTCACTAGGCCTCGTTCCTAACAGGCCACGGACTGATAAGGTCCACAGCCCGGGGATTGGGGACCCCAGCATTAAGGCAAAGGCTCATTCTTCCTACAGGGCATTTTTTGGGGTTACTGTTTTAGCACAGAATCAGTCCTTTTGAGTCATCACCACTGGGAGGGCAAGGACACAGCCACGGCTGAAGCCACAGCTGAAGCCACGGCTGAAGCCACGGCAGGCACTCACCATGACGTCCCCCTTCAGAAGCTGGGCCGGCTCGATGACAATGCAGATCCTGCTGGGGTTTTCCGGGCCAACGTTGCTTTGGGATGAAGAAGAAAGCAGAGCATTATGTAACTTCACGATTTCCTGGGAAGAATACATTGTAGGGAAAGGTAACCCTGCAACCCAAAACTCAGAAATTACACAGAATGCCCCCTCAGCCCGGAATCTAATTTCTGAGAATCTAAGTGAATCTAAAAAGCTAAAGAAAGCTCCCAGGCCAAGGAGGGCACTCAAAGCGTCATCAGGGTCAATGACTAATTTCAAGTGACTCAGGTCCGACCCCAGGGGCCTGAGCTTGGAGACGACCATGCAGCCTTAGAGGAAGGGGCCCAGGGCGCGCACAGCCACAAACTGCAGGTGCAATTCCAAAAGTTAACGTCAGTGCACACAGGGCCTGAAGCAAACCCAGAAACGTGACAACAGCTCTTTGAGTAATGAGAATATTTGTTACCTTTATTTACTTTTCATAAAATACCTGTCCACATTAAAAAAAAAAAAAAAAAAGAAAAAGAAAAAGAAAAAGAAAGCTTAGAAATGTGTACAGATTTGGGGGATGTGTGGCTACCTTCTGTTTAAAATGTAAAGAAGGCCAGGCACTGTGGCTCACACCTGTAATCCCAGCACTTTGAGGGGCCGAGGCAGGAGGATCACTTGAGGTCAGGAGTTTGAGACCAGCCTGGCTAACACTGTGAAACCCCATCTCTACAAAAATCCAAACATAAGCTGGGCATGATGGCGGGCACCTGTAATCCTAGGTACCCGGGAGGCTGAGTGGGGAGAATTGGGTGAACCCGGGAAGTGGAGGTTGCGGTGAGCTGAGATCGCACCATTGCACTCCAGCCTGAGCAACAGAGCAAGACTCCATCTCAAAGATAAATAAAAATAAAAAGCAAAATGGAAAGGAGCGAGAAAGAGAAACCACAGAGGTAAGACGGGACTCTCCAGCATGCTCACAGTAAACCCTCCCTATCCTCGGGCTCCACATTCATGGACTCAACTGACTGGGGATAGAAAATATCATGGGAAATAAATAAAAAATAAAAATGCAACCATAAAAAAAAAGCCAGAAATTAAAAACAATACATTTTAACAACTATTTTCACGGCCTTTACATTGAATTAGGTATTATATGTAATCTAGAGATGATTTAAAGCATACAAGAGGATGTTCACGGGTCATGTGAAAATACAGTACCGTTTTGTTTTGTTTCGTTTTGTTGACTCTCACTCTGTCACCCAGGCTGGAGTGCAGCGGCGCCATCTCAGCTCACTGCAACCCCCGCCTCCCGGGTTCAAGCGACTCTCCTGCTTCCACCTCGAGAAGCTGGGATTACAGGCATGCGCCACCACACCTGGCTCATTTTTGTATTTTTAGTAGAGACAGGGTTTCACTACAATAGCCAGGGGTGTAGTAGCTCACACCTGTAATCCCAGCACTTTGGGAGGCCAAAGTGGGTGGATCACTTGAAGTCAGGAGTTCGAGACAATGCTGTTTTAAAAAACACACCTGAACATCACGGATTTGGGTAATCAAAGGGGGTCCTGGAATCAATCCCCCTTGAAAACCAAGGGACCATCTTACTCCAAAAAGCAAACGGCCCTCTCTCCCCTCGAGACTCCACCCACATGTCCCTTAATGGGGCCAATTGGCGTTACAGCCCAAAGACAGTTGTTTCGGACAGGAGGGAGGGCTGAAGCAGGAGGGAGGGCTGAGGAGTGATGCCAGAGCACGAGCCACCCCATGGTTTTCCCCTCTGGACTCTTCTTTGGCTCCTTGGCATTCTCTGACCTGAACCCTCCCACCCACTTCCTGCGGGACAGGGAGCTGAGGCTCGGCTGCAATTCCCTGGGCCATCCAGATCCCACAGCAGAAGCAGCAGCAGCACTCACTAGATCCCGGAGGTGTACACGGGCTGCATGGCTTGGTAGAGCTTCAGAAAGGGCCGGCACACTGAAAGAGAGGTACAACCATCTGTAGAGGCATGACCAGGACAGAACAATCCGCAATTTGACAAGCCGAAAGAAAGGGACAAGGAGACCAGCAGACCACACCTCCAGCCTTTGAGGTTTGGGAAGGCAGTGCATGGAGCCACAGCATTGCTGCAGGAAAAGGCCAAACCCGGTCCTAGAAGTCTGCAGAACACAGTTTGACCTGTATCCAAAGGGTTGCAAAGGCTCCTGAATCATTGAGCCAGGCTGCTTCAAAACCAACCAGCAGCTTGGCAGGGTCACTCTGGCCATGATGACCAGGGGAACCTGAAGGCACAGATGTACTTCAGAGACAGAAGAAACCTGTGAGCAAGCACCTGCATGGGACTAGCAAGGAGGGGCGGGGTCCTGAGCCCTGGCCGTGTGCTGTGTGTACCTGCACTGGGCTGGGAAGAAGAAGACAGGACCCTGACCCTCAGCCATGTGCCTTGTGCTCCTGCATGGGACTAGGGAGGAGGGGTGGAATGCTGCTGACCCTCAGCCACATGCTCAGTGCAGCTGCAAGGGCCTGGGGATGAGGAGACAGGGCCCCGATACCCAGTTGTGTGCTGTGTTCATCTAAGTGGGACAGGAAGGAGGGCTCAGGGGCCTCACCCCCAGCTATGTGCTGTGTGCTTTCCTGTGGGGTCATTTTAAAGGAGGAGACAGGCTCATGAGATGCGTCAGGGGGAGACTGGGTCACATGCATGCCTCTCTTGCTGGGCTTCTTTCACGGCTGTGACTTCAAGGCCAACTGCAAAGCTGACCCACCGGAGCTGTGGCCCAGAACAATGCTTGTCTGCCCGAGTCACTGTGCATACACACAGGGGTATTTCTGATGCCCCTCACTGGCCACCTTGTCTCTCCCCTGATTAAGTAATTTGGCCCAACCACATAAACATGGTGATCTGTCCACAGAAGGGGGGCACAGTCAATCACTGGGGAGGGGGAGGAGCAGATCCTGGGCCCTCTCAGGAAGAAAGCAAAGGCTTATCTAAATTGAGGGGCCCTGGACCAGCCCCAAGTCTGGGCAAGCCAATCGCAGGGACACTCACCTCCACCTGTGTCAAAGTTGGGGGTGCCGTGTAGGATGACAAAATGCAGGAACAGGGGAGAGGCATTCATTTTCACCGATCCAGACAGGAGCCCACTGAGGAACTGAACGTACCTGCAAAAGAACACCTGGCTTGGACTTTCCAGAAGCATTCTCAGCCCCTGCTGAGGAGGAAATTCAGGGAGAAACACGTCCTGACTGGGCCTGGGGCTCTGGGAGAGAATCGGTCCCCTACTCACAGCCAGGGGTTCTCAGCGCGGTGCTGCACCCGCAGGTCTAAGGGCTTCCCACCAGCACACCAGGCACCAGGGACACCGAGATACAGCCAGCCTCTCAGCTTGAGCATCCCACACCCAAAAGGCTGAACCCGTCACCAGGCAATGCCAGGCCACCAGCCATCAAGGTTGCCATTGGTGAGCAGCGGAAAGCAGAGGCCTGGCCCACCAGCGGGCATGTGCTCTGTCACTAGCACTGCACCTGCGGCCGGGTCACGTGACCCAGGACCGGCGCCACTCACTGCACCTGCTACTTTCTGCTCACGCTCAGGAGCCCTAAGGAAAGGCTGGAGTCCATTCTCCCCTCCTACCCCGAGGCCTTCCATGCCACATCCAATGATAAGAGGCTCTCCTTCCTGCTGTCCCTCTCTTCAGGGCCCAGCTCCAAAGGTGAAGGCCACGTAGGCCATCAGCCACTCTCTGAGTTCCAGGCATCAGCTTCATGCTTCCAACACTGACTCCATACACCTTTCACGAACATTTGGTGGTTAAAAGGGAAGCTTCTACGCTAGGAGTGTCTGACTGCCGGGGTCCTCATGAGGCATGATTAGGGGCAGTGACCGGAAGATAAGCTGGATGATTGCCAAGCTCTCTGACGCTTCCCTGGCTTGTCCTGCCTGTTGGTGCCCTGCCTGGCCTGGCCCCTGCCCTGGGGCCCCTCACCATGGCCACTGCACCCACACAACCTCCACTGTAGCCTGCAATACCTTGCATGAAATCTGTGTTTCCATACCTATCTCCACCAAAACGCTGTAATCTCTGCAAGAAAAACCCAAACAGCCAAAAACCCACAGTATTTAACCATCGCATCTCTCTATTGCCACAGCAGATGGAGGCAGGAAGTGTCAGGTGACTGTACTGTCAGCACCTACAGCCATCCTGCCCCAGGCCAGAAACAGCCATCAGGAAACTTACTTTTGTTAAGAAAAAAAATATCTCATTATGCTGGCAGTTCACACCTAGTCCCTTATTCAAGCAGCTAAATTTGTATATAAACAAACTGAACAAGAGAGAATTTCTGTTAAACATTACCAGAAAATAAATAAAAACCCTACTTAAAGTCCACCCATGAGAAAAATGTTAGAAAAGCAAGACTGCTTCATTTTAGTTACGATTCTTAGTGAGAAACAGGGCATGGCAGTGTTTCCATCCTCCTAGCACCAAATTTCTCTTCTGCTCTCTCAAAACAGGGCAAAACCTCACAAGAGTCGCAGAGGCCAGATGCTCAGCCTGGAGACACGGGAATCCTGAGAGGCCGATGACCAGACCTCAGCAGACTTCCAGGCTGCTCCCACACACCTCCCCTGCAAGATACTTTCCACCCTGGCAACAAGACTTCCCACACTTGGTTGTATGTAAGCAGAGAAATGCGTGAATCATGTATTTTTAATCATGTAAATTTCACGTGTTGTGCAAAATTTGGCTCCCTGGTTTTGAGTAATAATAGCGAGGAAGCACAAATGCCCGGATTGAGGGGCCTGAGTCACCTCCTCTGGGGCGATTCTGCCCTCCCTCCAGCACGGGGAAGCCCTGGACACTAGGAAATCAGCTTTCTCCGCTCGTCCGGTTTGTCAGTGACATGCTGATTCCCTGACTGCCTGGCCGTGTGTTCGGGTAGTTCTGCAGTGACCACCCGGGTGAGACAGTCCTCTTCCCTGTGGGTGTTCTCAGTGTCTGATGTGCACCTGGACCAAGCATCTGGGTGGAGTCCATGTTTGTTTTATGTCTTCGTGCAAACATGGAAGGTGCAAACATGGAAGGCTGTGGAGTGCTGGGCCTCAGGGGCTCCTGTTCATGGCAGCATGAGGGGTCCAAGTGGCTGAGCCCAGAGTTAGCATCAGGGTCCTATGAGGGGCAAGCAGCTGCCCTCCAGGAAACCAAGGCCTCTCCCGGACCTCGGGCTTGTCCCGTACTGTGGTCACAGAGCTTCATTTCTGCTGATGTGGCCTGCCAGAATTGCTGCCCCTGTCACCACACAAATCATAAGAAGTATTTCTTTCAGGTGAGGAGGGCTACGCTGGCAGCAGGAGAGCTCTGTTTCGCCACAAGCTCCCAAAGAAGGCCCAAGTCCAGGGCCACAAGCCCAGAGGTGGTCCGCTAGGAGGGGAAGGAGGCTGTCCCTGCCTGGGACCCGGGACTCCAGAGTCTTCTCCCCAAAACCGGCTCTCAACAGCCTTCACCTCCCAGCTCAGTCTACAAAAAGTCGCTCAGTGGACAGCTTCAACAATTAAAAAGTAGCCTCTTGGCATATAATTCTCATCTGTCCTTTACAGAAAACTACTTTTTATGTATCATATTTTCAGGTAAGTTACAGCTATAAAATGCTAAGGTAAATGCAATTTTTTCTTCGCATGCTTTCTTAATAAGGTAAGATTTTTTTTAAAAAAAATATGTTGTTCTAAATCCTAAATAAAAGTATGCCTTTAAAAAAACATTTTTTAAAAAACAGCAATGTCTTGTAAAAACAACAAAGTGCATTGCAAATATAAGCCGTAGTGAACGCTGTGAGATTGCAGACAAATAGCCCGGGATAGGTAACAGCACTGAGTTTGTGAGTGACTCCCTACAGAATCACCATCTGTACCAAAGAAAAGAACATTCAGGCATAGATGAAAATAAGGGGAGGTCAGGCACAGTGGCTCACGCCTGTAATCCCAACACTTTGGGAGGCTAAGGTGGGCGGATCACATGAGGTCAGGAGTTTGAGACCAGTCTGGCCAACATGCTGAAACCCAGTCTCTACTAAAGGGAAAAAAAAAAAAAAAAAAAAGAAAAAAGAAAAAAAACTAGCTGGGCCTGGTGGTGTGCATGCCTGTAATTACTGCTACATAGGAGGCTGAGGCATGAGAATCACTTGAACCCAGGAGGTGGAGGTTACAGTGAGCCAAGATTGCATCACTGCAGTCAGCCTGAGCAACAGAGTAAGACCCTGTCTCAAGGGAAAGAAAGAAAAGAAAAAAAGACAGGAAGAGGGGAGGGGAGGGGAGGGAAGTATAACAGGACAGAATTGCACAATTAATTCATCCAGCTGACTGTGGAAAGGATCAACTTGAACTACGTATACATGGTATTTATCTGTGGCATTAAAGGTAGATATAAATGAGTCAATGTTAGGGTATCAGGTGCCCTCTAAAGACTATCCCAAGAGCTTTATTCAAAATAACATGTTCCTACTTAGTCAACACTGTTTTCAGAGCTGGAAAGATTAGAAACCAGATACTTGATAAAAACAGCTCCATTATTTTCCCACTGCTATCTTTTCTTTCCTTTTAGGAAATAAACTCCCTGAGGATGATGTTTCCCATGCTTCATCTCAAACCAGTGAGTACATTTTAAATTGAAACCAAAGGCAAACCATTTGCTTTCTTGTAAGCAAATGAACATAAAGCAGCTTGCAATTTTCAGTTGCCCCTCGCGTTGTTTATAACCACTTCTAACAGCAAAAACTTCCATTTGGAATCTCCATAAATCTCCCTAAACATTTGAGTTGCACTAGACGTAAGCTTGAATCTCTCTGAAAATGTGGGTGCATAAAAATCAGCATTCAAAGGTTACTTTTCCAAGCAACAGGAGCCCTCATCACAGGACATCTTTCCCAGCAGCTTTCTCACTCCACAATCCTGGCACTCACAGAGTCAGCCACAGTTGCAGGGGCAGCACTGACCGGCCAGGAAACCTGAGCTGGGCCACCTGTTGGCGTGAGCCAAGACTGGGCTGTTATTTAACATTCTGCTGAGCATTCCCTTCCCTCACCTGTAATGGGGAGAATAATGAGACCTACACATTGGAATTGCTGCAAAGATGAGTGAGCCGCATGGACGTAAGGGTCAGACTAGACCCCAACACATCGGCCACAGCTTCTGCTCTCCTGGAAGATGCTGCCAGCGTGTAGGTGGCCTTGCCCACAGAGTTGGTGACTCAGATGGGGCGGCTGGACCCAGGCAGAGTGTGTGGCTCCCTGAGGAACGGTCACCCTTCTTCTGCAGGCTAGGGGCAGCAAGGAGGACATGTAGGGAGGGGCCACAGGGACAGGAAGTAAAACCGCCTTTGCAGAAGTTTTAACAGTGAGAGAAGCATAGAAGTGAAAGAGATCTAATCTAACCAACCCCCATTTTGCCTTTAACTTCCTAACTGCCCTAGGCTATTCTTGGGCTTGGACCAAACTAATTTTAGGAGAAAGTAAAGTTTATGGTATAAATGATAATAGCCCAAAACTAAACCATCTTTGTTAAATTAATGAAAGACCACCAGGTTGGGAGGATGAAAGCAGCCTGAATTCTGCCAACGTGCAGACTTAAAAGATTACTCTGGGAAACACAAGATTGGCAACTTCCTCAGTTACTCCTAGAGATGACATCGCCATTGCTGAACCTAAGATTGGCCTTTTGAGATGTCTTTTAGGCTTTGCATTTCTGACAACTGACAGCTCTACCTGGCCTGCCAACTGTTACCTGGCCCCACCCAGAAGTGGACTCAGCGGCAGGAGGGCCATTTTCTACACCCCTGTGATTGCACCTCCAACAGATTAGCAGTACCCCTTCCCTAGTCACCCCTTGCCCCCCAAAATATCTTTTAAAAACCCTAGCCTCCAAATTTTCCAGGAGGCTGATTTGGGTAGTAATAAAACTCTGGTCTCCTGTTCAGCCAGCTCTGCATGAATTAAACTCTTTCTCTATGGCAATTCCCCTGTCTTGGTAAACCTGCTCTATCTGGGCATTGAATAATGAACCCACTTGTGGGTTACAGAAGCATTTCAGAGACTATCTGAGGAGCCTCATTCTTTAGAGAATGTGGAAAACTATTCCCCTTGTACCTTTAAAGTATTATTTCAGGCACCTGAGGTACTTCTGTCAAAAATGACAGAAATAACAAAAACCAAATAATGTCATTGTTACAGGTAGTTAGGCATGAGCAGGGCAAGAGAGGGCTCTTTCTGCACCCACTAGGAATGCTGGGTGACAGTTGGGCGATCATCACACTGCCTCTCTGAAAGTGATACATTGGCAACCAGTGCCAGGAGGCGGCCATCTCCTGATGGTCCATGCCTATTGCACTATTAACTGAAGGCAGGCTTCAGGGAGACACACCTTCTTGGGCACGTGTATTAAAGAACAAAATGGCAGAGTATGACCTTCTAGGGGCACATCAGACCAGAGAAACCCTCAGACGGGCGTGCGTACCACTTCCTGAATACATGCGTGTGCTCACTTCTCAAGCAAAAGGAGGGCACCATGCCCGCGGGCAGCCCACCCTAAGGGAAGAATTATGGGAAAGGGGCACAAGACTATAAAGTCCTTTTATAGGGGAAGTGGGCCAGCCTATAAAATCCTAGGACCAAGGTAAAACACCGCACCTGACCTTCTTATGCTCACTTGGGTCTCTTCTAAGCGTATTCTCCTTTCTTTCCTGCTCTAAAGCCTTTTTAAATAAACGTCCGCTCCTGCTCTAAAACTTGCCTCTGTCTCTTTTTCTGCCTTATGCCCCTTAGTCAAAATTCGTTCTTCTGTGCAGGCAAGAATTGAGGTTGCTACAGACCCTTATGGATTCACTGCTGATAACTCGGATACCTTCCGGCAGTAACACCATACAGGATAATTCCTGCTTTCTGAATGCCAAGACGTTTGCTTTGTTTGTCTTCCCTTTACCTCAAAGGGAGACCCAAACATGCATAGACAGCATGAGTAGTGGTCTTAGGTGAGTCCCACCTGGGACCTCCCAGGGTCACCTTGGCAGCCAACACTCAGGAGAGATCAGTTACCCAAAGAAACAACTGGCTGTCACTTTCCCCATTAACCTGGTGGCGGGGCCAAGAAATGTACGCTACTGTCTCAACTCTCTCAGAAAGAAAGAAAGAGAGACATCAGAAACATTAATAATTTAATATTTATGTGATGCTGACAGTAAACCCAAACTATACCAGGATTTTGAGGGGAAGTGAGAGGAGTCAGGGTCTATCTCTGTCATCCAGGCTGCCATGCAGTGAAACAATTATAGTTCACTGTAACCTCCTACTCCTGGGCTCAAGGGATCCTCCCACCTCAGCTTCCAGCTGAGCCTACAGGTGTGTGCCACCACATCCAGCTAATTTTATTTATTTATTTATTTATTTATTTATTTATTTATTTATTTATTTAGTAGAGATGAGGTCTTCCTGCATTGCTAAGGAAGGTCTCAAACTCCTGGACTCAAGGGATTGTCCTGCCTCAGCCTCCCAAAGAATTGGGATTACAGGTTAGAGCCACTATGCCACGCGCAGGATTTCTTTTTAACTACTTCTCAAAGAGGAAGGCTTCCAAGTTCAGGGAAAGAAGTTCAGGGGTGCCTCAATAACACAATGGTGGTAATGAGCACCAACAGCAGGCCACGCAGGGGTGTCCACAAGCTACTTCCCATGGTTCACTAAAGGCAAGAAAGGTATGAAAACAGAAAACTTACATGGGCACACGGCTGACCCAGCTCCATGGGCCAACTGCTCCATGACTTTTTAATGTAACGAACAAGGTAACAAAGATTGACCCCCTATCAGAGTTGCTGTTGAGACATCTGAGCTTCCCAGCCACACGCTCCATGCTAATTAATTATTCTCAAGAGTGATTATTTCAAGTTTGACTTTAAAATAATTTCTTGAGCTTAGCTCTAAAACAGCCTGCAAAGCACACACCCCACTCCCCAGATCATTCAGGACAAGAGAGAAGCTTCCCATCACAGAGCCTATTCCCATACAAGCTTTCATCACACGTTCTTCTGGTCTCAAACATGCCTCCAGATTTATCTTGTGCATTAATTCCATTGTTTACATGCTCAATTACCATTTGGTGAGCATCTTTTCATGCAGGCTCTGGTCAAGATAAAAGGAAAACGGCTAGGAATAAGGGGCATTTCCCTAATCTCAGGAGTAGAAGGACTAACCTTGGAATGTAAAACCGAATCCAGCAACTATTAAAAAATGCAAATTTTTTTGCTTCAAATGTGCAGTGATGGAAAGGATGCATGAAAACCTTGGGCATGGGAACATGAGGACAGCAGGGCACAGAGGCTCACACCTGCAGTCCCAGGGTTTTGGGAAGCCATGGCAAAAGGATTATTCAAACTCGGGAGTTCAAGGCTCGCCTGAGCTACATAGTCAGACACTGTCTCCACAAAAATTTTAAAATTAGCTGGGGGTGGTGATGTGCACCTATAGTCTCAGCTACTCAGGAGGCTGGGGTGGGAGGGTTGCTTGAGCCCAGGAGGTAGAGGCTGCAGTGAGCCAAGATTGCTCCACTGCACTCCAGCCTGGGTGACAGAGCAAGACCCCATCTCAAAAAAATAAAAAGAAAAAAGAAAATGAGGAGATATTTTCCCCCTTTTTCCATATTCTTTTAATGTTACAAACAAGCTGCTGGTGCCGTAAGAAATTTTAAAAAAGAAGGAGGAGGAAAGAACAGCCATCCTTCCTTCCTGCGTGCCAAGCAATCTGATCAGGTTGCCCCCATCGACGCCTCACTTTCCATGTGGGAGGTCATATGAATGGCACCATTTTGGAAACTGTTCAACAAAGAAATGATACTTAATGGTTCAAAAAAAGACCCCCAAGTGACTGACTAACTAAAAAAAAAACTTTTTTTTCCTTTGAGACAGAGTCTTGCTCTGTTGCCCAAGCTGGGGCACAGTGGCACAATCTCGGCTCACTACAACCTCCACCTCCGGTTTCAAGCGATTCTCCTACCTCAGCCACCCAACTAGCTGGGATTACAGGCACACGACACCATGCTCAGCTATTTTTTTGTATTTTAATAGAGCCAGGGTTTCCCACGTCCGCCAGGATGGTCTCCGTCTCCTGACCTTGTGATCCATCCACCTCGAGCTCACAAAGTGCTGGGATTACAGGCATGGGCCACCACGCCCGGCCCCACTAAAATATTTTATAAAATGCTGAGTTTTCTGCACGCAACTTGCACTGCATGTGGCCCTGCTGCTGTCCACGGTCCCACACCCCAGCCCACTTTCCTCCAACACACCCGGTCTCAAGAGAAACAGAGCAAGGCCATTGGAAACAGCAAGACAAAAGGAAAAGGTGCCTCTGGTGATGACTGAAATCCCTTTCTGCCCATCTACCCCCATGTCTGCTGACATAGCCCTCAGCAGCACTGAAGCAAACAGATGGGAGGCATCAGGATTTGCATACACGAGGGCCCGTGTGCAACTACCTGTCTCCAGAACAGAACACCATTTGCCAATCGCCCTGACACTTCTCCTACAAATTCCCTGCTGTGGGGTTTGAAATATGCCATAGAGCTACCCGGTTGGCCTTAAGTGTCACCATCTGTAGAGGAAATGCACCTGGATGGGGAGCCAGCCGTGGGTCCTTCTCACTGCCGCTCAGCCAGCCCTGCTCAGGTTCTTGACCTCAGCCCGCTGGGCAGGTGGCAAAAGGAGAAAGTTCTGCACGCCCCCTCACCCCCCGCCCCCCGCCCCCACGGCTACTCCCCATCACTTACTGAGCACCTTCCTGAAGCCATGCCCAGGAGTAGAGAAGGAAGAGATGGGCAGCACGACCATGGGAAAAATACTCCCTGGCCTCCAGGAACCGATGAGCCACAAGAATTGGCCAAATGCAGCTGGTAAAGTGTTTGTATAAGTAAAGTTTTATTGGAATACAGCCACATTCCCCGATTTCCATATTGCCCGGGGCTGCTTTCATGTTAGAACAGTTGCGATAAAGATCTTGTGGCCTGCAAAGCCTAAAATACTCACTCTCTAGTCCGCTGCAGAGAGAGTTTACTGACCCCTGGTCTAGGCATAGAACCAAGTTCCAACATAATAATGGAAATCAGAAGTCACTCACTGCAAGAGAGGAAGATGCCAACGGGGGCAAGTCCTTCCTCAAGGACTCTGTCCTTGCAGGCCAGCAGCGTATGGGGTTCTTTCACCGCAGACATGCAGGATAGCTCAGCCCTTCACCTCTGCAAGGGATAAGCCCCCGCTTCATAGTCTTGGCATGACCCAAGGATACCATTTAGGTGTTGGGACAGAGGAGATGTCTCTTCTGTTTTCACATTTTTATATGTAAAATTTCATTCACCTCTTCACTCTGGCTTTGGGGATGTATACATACCGTTTCTGAGAAGGCTGCATTAAAGCTGAAACTTTGTCGTCATAAAACTTCTTCATTGCAAACCTGTCAAGGGCCTGGTCAGCGCTGGGGAAAGAGAGAGAGAGAAAGAGAGTCAACTCAATGGAACTCACGCCATGTACGTGCATGACGAGAGACATGTCCCATGGCTGCTGAAAGCAACCAGCTCACACACAAGGGGCTTCACTCTTTTGCTGCACCTGTGCACACCCCATTCCCCTGTCTCTTCTTAGACTTCATTTCCCCTGCAGGAATATGCTGGGCTCAAAGTGAGAGCAATAGCGCAGGGTCAGAATTCTCATCTGAAATAACAGCACCTTATCTAAAAGTATGATACTTAGATGTGCTGAATACCCAGTTTGCAGGAGAAGAACTGGCTGAGGCTTCTCAACAGGCAGGTGGCAGGGGCTGGTGACCAAAACTGTCTTTTGGCCATCCTATCTCCCAAATAAAAGAGGCCATGTTAAGTGGGCTCTGAAAGAGACAAGAGGCAGACTCAAGTCTCAGGACCACGAGGATGCAGGGAGCAACCCAGAGCAGGAAAATGAATGAAGCCCCCATGAAGTCCCAAGAGAAGGCCGCAGGACACTGGGGTTGGAAAGGCATGTGGGGCCTCAGGGTTGCATCACTATTTTTGAAGTGACTGCCATAGAAAGTGACCCCACTTTCCAACCACATATTTGACCTTCAATGCCAGCTTCACACTGCTCACAGGTAGTATCTGACAGACCTTCCAGAAACTTCACGGCAGGGCATTCGTGGGGCTTCCTGATCCAACTTCAGCATACACCATGGAGTATGAGTGCTGTGTCTTAACAACTCAAACTCATCTGAGCCAAACGCTTCCTTAAAACCCTGATAGGCCAAGCACCGTGGCTCACATCTGTAATCCCAGCTCTTTGGGAGGCCAAAGCGGGCAGATCACCTGAAGTCAGGAGTTCAAGAGCAGCCTGGCCAACATGGTGAAACCCTGTCTTTACTGAAAATACAAAAATTACCCGGACATGATGATAGGTGCCTGTCTCCCAGCTACTCGGGAGGCTGAGGTGGGAGAATCACGTGAACCCGGGAGGCAGAGTTGTAGTCGGCAGAGATCACACCATTGCACTCCAGCCTGGGGGACAGAGCGAGACTCCATCTCAAAAAAAAAAAAAAAAAAAAAAAAAAAAAAAAAAAAAATCCTTTCTTAGAAAAACATGTCTGCACCCCTCCAGAAAAATGATGTACATAGGCACTGTGGACCTCATAAAGGCCTGGAAAACACTGGTAAAGAGATAGGCAGGAGGAAAAAGAAACATGCTCAAAAGTAAGTTGAGTGTGACTTGACTTTTAAAGAATGCTATGAAATGGACAACTTGCTGCATGCATTTGCTAGGCAAGGGGCTGGGCTGGTGGGGCAGTCACAAACAGAAGTGTCCACTTCAGCACCGAGTTCATCACATACTGAGCAGGAGAGCACAGCTCCGTCGCCTCCCAGTGACTTTTCAGCACTCCGTTTTTTGGAATTCACTTGTTTTATTAACTGCTAAGAATACATTTTGACCAATGCTTATTTTGCGTAGTAATATCATTACTAGTAATAATATTAGTACTGCTTTTGTCTTTATAACTCTTATTTTATGGTGTTGATACAAGAATGTTCTTTCCTGGTGACTTGAAGTTTCTGTTTCATTCTGTTTGTAGTTTGTGATGAAGACCTCAAACATGTGTGCCTGCGCTATCTGTGATTACTCTACTTGTGGAATGTAATCTAAGAGGGAACATTGGAGAAATGATCAAAGATGTACATGTAAGAATGTGTTCATCGTGGCAAGCTTTGCAGTAGAAAATAGCTGGAAGCAACCTAAATTTAAACACACACACACACACACACACACACACACACAAACTAGAAGCAACTTGGATAGGCAAAATCAGCAAATGCTTAAATACATAACGTATCCATTGAATAAAGTGCTATGCTGCCACTGAAATCATGTCAGGGAATGATGCGTATGAAATGATATTCATGGCTGGGCACCATAGCTCACACCTGTAATCCCAGCACTTCAAGAGGCCAAGGCCATCAGATCACAAGGTCAAGAGATCGAGATCATCCTGGCCAACATGGTGAAACCTCATCTCTACTAAAAATACAAAAATTAGCTGGGCTTGGTGGCATGTGCCTGTAATCTCAGTTACTCGGAGGCTGAAGCAGAATTGCTTGAACCTGGGAGGTGGAGGTTGCAGCAGGCTGAGATTGCACCACTGCACTCCAGCCTGATGAGAGAGCAAGACTCCGTCTCAAAAAAAAAAAAAAAAAAAAAAAAAAAAAAAAAGATATTAATATAGAAAAGCAAGTCATAAAAAGCATGTTGTTTCAGCCCATTTAATTGAAAGGCACTTAATACTATTACTCCTACTAATCACAGCAGCATTAATGACAGCCAATACCTGATTACCGATCTTGTTCTAACTGCTTTTTGTGTAATGATAGGTTGAACTGTCACATCATTCTAGGAGGTAAGACTACCATCATTTTTCCAGGTAAGGATGGCTTGGAGAGATTCAGGTAAACTGCCTTACACATGCAGCTGAAATACATATTGACTACTGAGAGAAAACAGAGTTTGTAGGAAGAGTGTCAATGTCATGTTTTTAGTCCTTAGACTACTACCCTTCCCAAAAAATACAGGACTATCCACAGTGCATGGAACTTTGGTTCAGGCAGCACTACTTTGCTGGGGTTAGAAATGCTCAGGTGAGGCCAGGTGCAGTGTCTCACGCCTGTAATCCCAGCACTTTGGGAGGCTGAGTCGAATGGATCACCTGAGGTCAGGAGTTCAAGACCAGCCTGGCCAACATGGCAAAACCCCGCCTTTACTAAAAATAACAAAATGATTAGCCAGGCGTGGTGGCTTGCACCTATAATCCTAGCTACTGAGGAGGGTGATGCAGGAGAATCGCTTGAACCCGGGAGGCGGAGATTGCAGTGAGCGGAGATTGTGCCACTGCACTCCGGCCTGGGCAACAGAGTGAAACTTTGTCTCAAAAAAAATAAAGAAGTGCTCAGGTGGTCTCTGCCCAGAACCAGCCAGGATATGTTTGGTGGCCAACCAAATGTCTGTGCCATCACTGAGGGATGGATGTGACCAGGAATCTCTATTTTTCTGGCACACATGCATTGATGATTATTCTCACCAAGAGGGACTCTGATTTTCACTTGGGGCTTGGGTTTCCTCCCTGGCAGGCACCAGCTCCCCAATTTGTTTCCAGAGAAAACATTCAGAAAGTCAAATTTCACTCCTTGGTGCTAGAAAGGAAAAGGTTTATCGGCTGATATGAATAAGCTTCTATTTCCTCGGAATGGAAAGCTCAGGTTTTACAAAGAGGCCATTGAGAAGACAGGGCAGTTGCAAATGCAGACCCCATAAATAATGATATTTTCTGCACTGCATTGCAGCGTGAGTGAAGATCTGCACTGTGGGAAGGCTGCTGGGGAACACCATGGCTTCCCAGGGCCAGGAGGGCTGCCACAGGGCTGGGGTCCTCATGGCCCGGCCGTGTTTGTGTCATGCCTGACTAAAGGGGCCCCAGTGGCACCTCCAAAGTCTCCAAAACTACAGTTCCATCTCATGGAAATCAGCCCAGACCTGGCTCCCCACTCCCAGGCTGTGAGATCATGAGCAAGCTACCTGGCTCCTCTGAGCCTTGCTTCCCTCGTCTGCGCAATGGGAATGACAGTAACACCTCGTGGATTAGTTAGAATTCAGGGAGAAAGGAAAATAGTGAGTATACTTCCCAGAGGCCCAGTGCCTGCAAAAAAAAAGAGGTGGCTGTCACCCTTAATATACACAAGGTATGAACTGATTTAGTGAAACCACTCTGTTCTTAATTTTCATAATGGTGACTTTTACCTCTGTTATTTTTTATTAGACTTCTCTAGAGAATAAGGAACAGTGGGGCCACATATTTTTTTAATGCCTCCATGGAAATACTTAGACAATCATACATAGCCACCCAACCTGGGAAACGCCACCTTCACAAGAGTAAATGCTTAACTGTAAGCTGGGTTTCCAGGCACTGACCACCCCAGCACTGAGGGATACGAAACACAGGTCAGCTGAGCCCTTAGTGTCCAGAACAGCTCCCCACAGACAGGCTCCAGCCCCGAGCAGGCTGAGCTTTTAGTGCCGAAAGACAGCGGGCTGACATCTTCATCCTACCTGGCCGAGACGTTGGTGAAGTGCATGTAGGATGATATGACCACTCCTATGCGTCCTTTCCCGCCCTGCAGGAGACAAAAGATGAGCTGATTTTCTCTGAAATCCTGCAGCAGAGATGTAATTAGAACAAGAAAAGACTCACTCGTGGACAAAATAACAGAGAACATGCTTTGGAGTTTAGGCCAGCATTACCTGCAGCCTTCCTGTCTGGGAGAGTCAGTACCCAGTGCAACTGGAGTCTCTGCAACAGGGAATCTGCAGGCTGGGTGCAAGCAGTAAGAGCAGGTGCTAACCAGAGCAGCTGTAGAAGCCCAGGAGGGCTGATCGACACAGCAGCTGCCTGTCATTTCACCCAATTAGGCTGGAAGTAACTCATTACACATGGCGGGACCACTGTCCCAGGCAGACGTTCTGGAAAAAGACTTAAATCATAATCACAGATACCAACAGCCCAGCTCACAAGCCAGCAACACCAGCAGCAGAAACAGAAACTGCTGGACAGGCCACCCTCACCCATAGCCACAGAGTGCCACCTTCTAGAACTTACTCTCACGACCTACAACAGCAGACAGCAAACGGCAGCCCAAGAGCTACTTCCCCCCATTACCTACTTTCCCACAACTTGCGAGCTGAGTTGCTTTTACATTTTCAAACCACTGAGGAAAAATGTTGAAAAGATAAGATTCCACGCCATGTGAAATGTGCTGAGGTTCAGATGTCAAGGTCCATACATAAAGTTTGATAGAACACGGCCACTCCCCTCTGTTCACCTACATCCAGAGCTGCTTCCACACCCACTGCAGGGGCGGGTCTGAGTATCTGCAGCAAGACCATGGCACCTGCAAAGTGTTAAAATACAATCTGGCTCTTTTTAAAGATATTTGCCAACCCCTGATCTGGAATCACATAAAGCCAAAATGGCAGGGCCTCTAATATGTAGCTCCCTTACTTCTTGAGAAAAAAACTACCATTTAAATTCAAGTCACAATTCTGATAAGCCCAGTCATACATGAATGTCACCCAGGATAATCCTTCTCTCTGTCGGTCAAAGTCAAGAGCATGCCTTACAAAGATGCTCAATGCGGGCACTTGATAAACTCTTTGCAGCTGAATCCTGGCACGTGCAGTTATTTACGGTATGGCTACTAGCATGTTTCTTGCATAAAGCTATACTTGACAGCAATTCACCTACAAAGAACACCTCAGCCAAAACAGGCACACATGGTGGTGACGTTCACCCCATTATCAATCACTTTTGTAGCACTATTTATCGATATATATAAAGCAAATATTAACAGATCTGAAAGGACAGGCAAAAATACCACAGGTGTAGGGGACTTCAGTACCCCATTTTCTACAATGGACAGCTCATTGCAACCTCTGCCGCCCAGGGTTCAAGCGGTTCTCGTGCCTCAGCCTCCCAAGTAGCTGGAAATACAGGTGCATGCCGCCATACCTCGATAATTTTTTTGTATTTTTAGGAGAGACGGGGTTTTACCGTGTTGGCCGGGCTGGTCTCCAACTCCTGACCTCAGGTGATCTGCCCACGTTGGCCTCCCAAAGTGCCCGGATTAGAAGCGTGAGCCACCATGCCTGGCCTCAAGTATCTTTTCTCACCAGAGTGGTATGAAACTAGAAATCAGTAACAAGAGGAATCTTGGAAAATTCACAAGTTTATGGAAATTAAACAATATGATCCTAAATAATTGTTGGGTGGACGAAAAAAAAATCAAAAGAGAGATTTCGAAATATTTTGGGAAAAACAAAACTAGAAACACAAGACACCAAAACTTATGGATGCAGCAAGGCAGTTCTAAAGGAAAGTTTGTGGCAATAAATGCCTATATTAAAAGAGAAGAAAATTCTCAAAAAAAACTAATGTTGCACCTGAAGGAACTAGAAAAAGATCAAACTAAACCCCAAATTAGCAGAGGAAGGGAATAGCAAAGACCAGAGCAGAAACAAATCAAATAGAGACTAGAAAAACAATAGAAAGATAAACACAACTAAGGGTTCTGAATACAAGCAAAATTGACATACCTTTACCTAGACTACATGAAAAGAGAAGACTCAAAATCAAAAATCAAAGAGCAGTCATGACCGTAACTGATGCCACATAAGACACAAAGAATCACACACAAAAAAACTATGAACAATTATGTGGAGATAAATTGGATAAACTAGAATAAACTCATAAATTCCTAGACATATACAACCTACCAAGACTGAAACATGAAGAAACAGAAAATCTGAACAGAACCATAACAAGTAAGGGGATTGAATCAGTAATAAAAACTCTCCCGGCAAAGAAAAGCCCAGGACCTGCTCACTTAACTGATTAATTCTATCAAACATTGTGTGTGTGGGTGGGGGGGATGGGGGAGGCCTTTGCTATGGTTTAAATATTGGCCCCTGCCATAACTCATGTTGAAATTTAATCCCCAGTGTGGCAGTATTGAGTGGTGGTGAGGTCTTTAAAAGATGATTAGGTCATAAGAAACCTTGCCTTCATGAATGGGTTAATAAAATTGTGAATTAATTAACTAATGGGTTAATGGGTTATCACAAGAGCAGGACTGGTGGCTCTCAAAGAAGAGGAAGAGAGGCCTGACTGGCACCCTCAGCCCCCTTGCCATGTGATGCCCAATGCAGCCTCAGGGCTCTGCAGAGTCCCCAACAGCAAGAAGGTTCTTACCAGACGCAGCCCCTTGAGCTTAGACATCTCAGCCCCTATAAATATTAATATAAGAAATAAATACGGGTCTCTTGCTGCAGTAACGTGAGTGGGAGCACCAGGAACCCAGGCTTGGAGCGGGACCCTACGGATTGTTTTAAGAAAATGGCAGACAAACCAGACATGGGAGAAATCGCCAGCTTCGATAAGGCCAAACTGAAGAAAACGGAGCCGCAGGAGAAGAACACCCTGCCGACCAAAGAGACCACTGAGCAGGAGAAGCGGAGTGAAATTTCCTAAGAGCCTGGAGGATTTCCTGCTCCTGTCATCTTCGAGACCCTAGTCCTGATGTGGAGGAAGAGCCACCTGCAAGATGGACACGAGCCACAAGCTGCATTGTGAACCTGGGCACTCCACGCTGATGCCACCGGCCTGTGGGTCTCTGAAGGGACCCCCCCAATTGGACTGCCAAATTCTCCGGTTTGCCCCGGGATATTATAGAAAATTATTTGTAGGCCGGGCGCGGTGGCTCACGCCTGTAATCCCAGCACTTTGGGAGGCCGAGGCGGGTGGATCACGAGGTCAAGAGATCGAGACCATCCTGGTCAACATGGTGAAACCCCGTCTCTACTAAAAATACACAAAATTAGCTGGGCATGGTGGTGCGTGCCTGTAATCCCAGCTACTCAGGAGGATGAGGCAGGAGAATTGCCTGAACCCAGGAGGCGGAGGTTGCAGTGAGCCGAGATTGCACCATTGCACTCCAGCCTGGGGAACAAGAGAGAAACTCCGTCTCAAAAAAATAAATAAATAAATAAAAATAAAAATAAAAAATAAAAAAAGAAAATTATTTGTATGAATAATGAAAATAAAACACACCTCGTGGCATGGCAAAAAAAAAAAAAAAAGAAAAGAAAAAAAAGAAATACCTTTTCTTTATAAATTACCCAGTTTCAGGTATTCTGTCATAAGTAACAGAAAAACGAAAACTCCACCAGAAAGGTGAAGAGATGCAAACACTTTGAAGCTCATTTTACAAGGCCAGCAGTATCCTGATATGAGGTCTTTCTCAATGCAACAGTAAGCATTCAAGGCTTTGCAGCCTGCAAGGTCTTCTTGCAACTATTCAAACCTGCCTCTGCAGTGTGGGGGGAAGCAGCCACGGATGTACATAAGCCACGTTCCACTCAAACTTTATGTATGGAACTGAAGTAGGATACCTTCATATAATGTTGTAAATACAGCTCTTAGCTCACAGGTTGCAGAAAACAGAAGAGGGCACGATCAGCTCATGGACTATTGTATTTTAGTGCAAGCAACATTCTTTTGGACTTGGAACTGTTCTTAACAAAAATCATAGAATTACTAATTGCACAATTTGCCGTGGGTATTCATGGACTCAGAAACAGAAAGTTGGTATGGATGAAATCTCCCAAAAGAACTGCAGACCATTTCTGGTCAATCAATAACCAGGGTGTGGAGGGGTGAGGAGGAGACTGCACACACCCACACAAACACAAGCCTCTGCTTCACACAACAGAGCAGGAAGCACAGCAGAACCGACCCTCACTCTGTTCCCGCCCAGGCTGAGACAGGCCCAGCTATGCTAGAAATTCCTGGCATGTGTGGAAGGATATGCACATTCTGCAAAGTAGGCGGATTTCGGCAAGTGTCAGCGATTTCACCCCCGCAGTGATGATGACGAACTTCTGTTAACATGGACATCAGCAATTTCAAATTAAAAGAGGGCTTATCTCTCAGGGCACAGTTTCTAAGCGTTTCAAAAATGGTTTACACAGCACCAGAAGCGGGCAAGCAATTAGCAAATCACTTCTTAGAAGTTTCAACATGCTCCCATGAATTCCACTAACAAGAGCAGTCCAGAAAGCCCAAAGTTCCTTAGGGAAAGGGTGCATTTTAGAAAGCTCTAGGCAGTCCCCACTGGGACCCACATGTTTTACATCATCTCATCATTTCTTTCAATTTCATCAAAAAATGGAACTGAACAACAACTAAAATGGAATAAATGGCCAAGGGTGGCCTTTTGCAAGTCCAGCAGCTCCGAGAGTGTTCTGACGACGTACTGGCCGCAGGTCTGGGTGCGTCCTAGGACCTGCCCTTTCCACAGGTGTCCAGGTGTGCTGCTGGGCCCAGGCCGGCAGGTCAGGAGTGCTGCTTACAGCAGCCTGCTGTGTAATCCTGGGCAACGATGACCCATCAATATCAGACTCGCTGTACCCAAATCACCACACCTAGCCTGAAAAGCATAGCTTGTTTTAATTAACAAGAATTGTAATTATTTAAAAGTCTTTCTCTCTCTCTCTCTCTCTCTCTCTCTCTCTCTGTCTGCATCAAAACACAATTTGGGTGGAGGATCCATAATTTTAACATAATACTTGAAAAGATCAGGACAATACAGACAATTTGGAAAGAGTCCTAATGGGTGTACCTATCCATGTGGGGGGATAACATGATCAAGTTAGACGTGAGGAAAGAGATAACACCTGAGAGAAGCAAAGAACATCTGTGTGCCCTGATGGATGTGTCCTGCACATCGAATGGTCATCAAATGCCCTGCAGCTGTAAACAGCATCCACAAGCCAGCCAACATCAGTGCTTCTGCAGAAAACATACACTAACAGTCTAATATAACTCATAGGGACTCTTCTTGCAAACTAAATTCCATAATACAATGGATTTCTGTGCAGTTCTTTTAGTGTGAAAGAGTCTGGAAGAAAAAAAAAACACTTCTATCTTGAACTGTCAACACCTCCTACATATTTTTATGGTCCTAAGAATGGTCCAAATTATTGTCAAACGTAGAACAGAGGGAGCTGCCCCTTAACGAACAGAGACCCCAGCCCACTGGAGACATCCTTTCCCAAAGGATTCCTCCCTGACTCAAGGTGTGACTGAGATAAGAGCTTTTCTCTAATAGTAAGTTTCTGGCGGGAGGGTTAAGCTTCACACACTTATCCCTCAGTAAGTTTGCTTTCAGTCCAACGCTTTTCAACACCAATCACATTTCAGGAGCAGTAAAAAGCAGCTGAGAAAACTGGGAATTAAGAGGAAAGATCCCAGGAGTTGGGAGGAGGAGGAGGGAAGGACCCCGCAGCAGCCAGGAGGAGGAGTGCCCGCCAGCACAGGCCACGTCTGCACTGCGATGGCTCTGTGTGGAAGGGACCATGTGTTCACTGCAATGGCATCATGCCACCATCTAGTCCGTTGACTGACTACCGTAACTCAGACAGCATGGAGAGTCTGGCACAGTTCATCGGAAAAGTGCAGTGCTCTTCTGAAAAGGAGGGTTTTCCAAAAAAATACAACGCAATAAAAATGAAAGGATTTGCTCTCCTAACCCTGGTCAATAGTTCCAAATGTCCAGCTACACATTCAGGGACCCCAATCCTATAAATTCTAAAGCCAAACTTGGGGAGGTGTGGCAACTCTTTGCTTCTTCTTTTTTTTTTTTTTTTGGTAGGTGTCAATAAAGTCATATATTATATATAATATATACACATACATACACACACAGTCACATTCCAGTGTGACAAATACTCCTTCACCAGGAGAAAGCACTACCACTCTGGGATCTTGAAGACTCTCTACCAAGAGCCTGGGCCTGGCAGTCCTCACAGATGACACCCAACAGGGGGCACTTTTATTCATGTGGGGAGGGGTGGGGTGTAGCCCAGGGTGTATACTGACTGGGACCTCCCTCGGGCCCAGAGCTCTGCTGCACCCTCTTTATCAGCTCTTCAGCCTGCATAGACAACTCTGTCAGCTTTTTGCCCATGCGCTCATGGATGCCCAGGTACTTAGACACACATCGGTCCAGGCACACAGACTTGCCCTTGGACAGCTCTGCTTCCTTGTAGTGAGGAGGCACACACCTCCGGTGGTAGGCACTGGTCATTCTGTCGTACATATCGGCCATCATCTCCACCTCCAGCTCTGCAGACAGCTGTTGGGCCCTGAGCGGACCCATCTCTGCCTAGCACTCTGGAAGGGATCTCCTTCTGACCTCCTAACCCACTACCTGGCTCACAATGCCCACGGAGACCCCAACTTCTCACAAATATTACAATGTTACCCCTCTGTTTGCTTCTTTACAAGCAAGTAGGAAAACCTAAAGACAAACCCATGAGGAGCACGTCACACCGGCTCAAAGTGCAAATGTGTTCAGAGGCAGCACTGGTCTCCACCTCAACTCCAAGGGCTGACGCCCCGCCAGACCCCCGAGGGCGAGAGGTGGGCGCGCTTACCCTGCAGTGAATGACAACCACGTGCTGGGGGTCGCTGTTCAGCCAGGACTCCTGTGCCTTGCATATGGTACACATCTTATCCAGGGGCGGTGCGTGGAGCTCCGGCCAGCCCACATCCATGATCTGCAACAAGAGAGGGGAGCTTCCTCAGTTTCCATTTCCTGAAACCTCTGAGGCCATTTCACAATGACTTCTTTCGTCATCAGTATATTTCATTTGGGAGTGAAGAACATGCTGCGTGACCCTTTCCTAAATCTCAGTGAGCATCCTTCACTGGGAGGAAGAAAATAAAGCATGACACTGCCCGTGTGATGCCCCTTCTTCCAGGGGCTCATCTGCTCTTCCACAGCTGGGCTGACTATTTTAGAAAGGTCTTTGGGGAGCTGCTGACGGTGCAGGTTGTGTGAAGGGGGCCGCAATCCAGTGAGATCTCAAACAGGAGTCCTGGCCCCAAGCTGCAATCCCCCCAACTCAGGTTAAAATACCACTTTGGAGAGTGCAGCCAGCCATCTCCCACATGCTGTGCAGAGGCAAACTCCTGGAAAGGCAGGGCTGAAGGAGGAAGCACCGTCCAACCCCTGATTAATTTTAGTGTATGGACAAAGAAAATCACGACCATGTGCTAAAGACACAGTGGATCTGTGCCGCTCTGAGCGTTCTGAGGCACACGCAAGTCCACGGTGGCCCACAGTGACCACACGGGGGCGCTGCTCTTCCTTTGATTTCCTTTTGCCAGTGGCGGGGGGACAGAGAGCTCTGTGTTATGAAAGTCGCAGAAACAGTGTAAAATCTTTGGAAATTTCAAAACATTGCCAGGAAGCAGGAAACGTCACTACCTCTTCCACCAGTCAAAGATAACCAACCACTACAACCTTTTCATGAATCCCTTTCTATGCACATTTAGCATAACTGAGATACTATTATTATAAATTATATACTCTACTATTGTTAACTAGTATTGAAATGGGCAACTTATCATGATTCTGCTTTTTTATTCTAATGGCTGCAAAATATTTCAACACATAGAATATACATACATATATGTATCATAACCTATGTTGACTCAGTCTTAAAATTATTCTCCCAAATTTTGCTATTGAAAATGATCATGGAGGGATGGGGGAAGGGGAGGGACAGAATTAGTAAAATACCTAACCCATGAGAGGCTTAAAACCAAATGACAGGTTGATGGGTGCAGCAAACCACCGTGGCACATGCATACCTATGTAACAAACCTGCACGTTCTGCACATGTATCCCAGAACTTAAAGTAAAATTCAAAAAAAAAAAAAAGAAAAGAAAAGAAAAGAAAGAAAATGATGCTGGAAAGAGTGAATGACTATGACCATAAAGAGATACTAGGAGGAGACCCCCGTGCTGATGAAAATGTTTTCTCTCTTATCTGTGGTAGCTGAACAAATCCATACATATCATGCAGTTTAGATTTATTCTGTTATAGCAAATCTATAGTATACATATATATATGTACACACATAGGACACACATATATATACATGCTGGGATTACAGGAATGAGCCACGATGCCCGGCCGATACATTTATTTTTAAGGTTAATTTGTTCAAATCAGCATCCAAACAATTCCCAAGGATTTCTTTTTCCTCTATCTTATTCATCTGACATGAATTTAAATCCAATTCAAATGTTTTCAACACTGTTCGAACAGAAATAAAGCATCTCTATTTCAAACTAAAAAAAAGTAATTAAAATATATATAAATATGCATTACATATGAAAGATCCCAGGAAGGTGGGAGAAGGAAGCATCATGTGTATAGATTTGTTCTATACATACATATATGCAGTATATATCATCTATATACATGATGCCTAGAAACACACATGTACGCAAAAAACAGGGAAACATGAGTGAAGTCCATAGATGTACCAGCTCCAACTTCCTGGCCTAGGTATTTTATTATTAGTGTTGTAAGATTCTCCCACTGGAAAGACTGGGTGAAGAGTACAGGGGATCTCTGTATTATTTTCACAACTTCCTATGACTCTCTAACTATTTCAAACTAAAGAAAAAGCAATTAAAAAATTGATATGAACACTTCCTAGTACCCCTTATCAAGTCACAGTCCACAAAGACCAGTAGCAAATTATTTTTGCACAAAATAGGCATTGTTTACATTTTACAAAATGCATACTATAGGGATAACGCCATACCTTTGGGTTAAGCTTCGTGAGGTCGTATCTCTTTTCTGAAAGGTTTAATACCTATAAAAGAGAAAAATGCCTTTTATAAAATAGATTTTAATATTTAAAAAAATTAATACTTTAACTTTAAAAAAAATATTTAAAATCTTTACACTCAAGAATCGGGGGGAAAAAGCTTTTAGACAAATCACTGACATCATAGATGAAAGGCGAAGACATCACTGCATTTTGACATGACATTTGCCTTCCAGGTACCGAGGATCAGAAAAGATTGAAAAGTACAGACACGTGTGTTGTCACAGAATAGAAAGCAAGTAAACTAAGTTAGGGATGGCATACAGAGCCCTTATACATAAAGTCTATATTCTACTTCGCTAAACAGTATTAAACCAGGCAATTTATCACGTTACTGTTTTTTTATTCTCATGGCTATAAAACATCCTAACATACAGGATATATACATATACACATATATATGTACACACACATATATATGTATACATATAGATACGTGTGGCGGGGGTATATAAAATAACTTCCCTGGTCTTGCTCCTGGCAACACAAACTGACCCAACTGAGAGCTGGCACATGGTGAGGAGGGCAGTCCCTCCTCTGTGGCCTAGTGGGCCCGGGCCTGGCAAGGGCTGAGTTCATGCCCAGCCAAGAGCCACAACCTAAGTTCACTGAAAAATCACAGCTGTTTGTGGAACCTTCCTAAATACTCAAGTAGAGCAAAACGGAAAATAATAATAATGTTCCAGCAGCACAGAATCTTAAAAATTAACTAAACATCCCTCTCACTTCAGAGTCAGAGACGTGAGGATGGAGGCTTGTCCACAGCCAGGTCACAGTCAGACAGGCTTCAAGGGGAGAAAGAGCAGGAGCCTGAGTGAATGAAGGGTCAGGGGGTGAGGGGTCAGGACGCAGGAAGCACCTGGCCAGAGCTGCTCTTGCAATCAGATGGGGGCCCCATCCTACTCTGCCACTTGGGTACACTTCTCCGAGCCAGTGGTGCCCCAATCATTGGAGCAGACACACAAAGAAGACAATGACTGCCTTGTAGGCTTGCGGGTCGGATTAGCTTTACCATAGATAAGGAGGCCTCCTTACTACAGATAAGGAGGCAGGTAAGAGAAGGTGCCAAGGAGCTGTCATTCAACCCCATCAGTGACCGCTGACAGCAGAAGCAGCCAGCCTCCGCCGGGGCTAGCAACCATGGGATCGGAAAACAAGGGGCCAATCGGAGGGCCGCTCTGTATTCTTCCTCAGCTGTAGGCTCCACCATCAACTCGACACGTATGTTTTGAAAATCGACCTGTCTCCTTGCCCGCAGGACAGCCCCTGGTTTCTTGGGCACTCACCCAATGTGTCTTCCTAGTTTCTTGCTGAGGAGGAGAGTCACAAGTTTGCCTTTTGATATCAGGGAGGCAGCATGGGAGCGCAGGGGTGGCCGGCCGGGGACATGTCCCCAGGCACTGGGGAGCCAGCCTCACTGGTAAGTGCGGGACGAGGCAGCAGGCATCCCTGCGGTCAGCTGTCATGTGTCCCTGAAAGCTACCTACAGAGATCCATGACGCTCCTCTCCAGGCACAGCAGCAGAGAGACAGAGGACCAGGGCGCCCTGGGCTGCTGTGTGAGCCCAGGCTCGCCAGCTTCTCCCTCGTGTGTAAGCCAGGGCTCTGCGGGTGCCTGTCCCCTCGGAGTGCCTGCTGCACGGCCTGCCCGAAGGCTCCCGGAGCCGCCCACCGCTCACCAGGTAGTTGTCCCCGTGCTTGGACTTGAGCATGCGCGTGACCTCCTGCAGGCTGTGCAGGTAGGACTCCTCGGAGCAGCCGGCGGGGAAGGACACCGCGATGATGCGCTCGGTGATGTAGGTGAGGTCCAGCCCGCGGTCCTCCTCCATGGTGGGGCTCAGGACGACGGGCCTACGAGAGAGCAGGGGGCAGGTCAGAAACGGGGTAAGGAGGCATCAGACATTCATCTTCTGCGAAAGGGAGAGGATGAGGGACACTCACCCTCCAGGTGTTCACACCAGCCCCTGGGTGGCCGGGGGGGGGGGGGGGGCACGGAATTTACAGTGTGTGCCATCTCTGTGCTGTGTTCCCATTAAGGGCGGACAGTGCAGGGAGGGGCACAAGATCGAATTTTCCTAGCAGGGCATGACTGGGTCCGGCAAGCTGCGGGCAGGGAATACACAGAGAGAGAGAGCAGCTCAGGGCAGTGACGCATGGGCTCAGATGCAAAAGCACGAAGGCGGTTTCACTGGGAGCCGGACGGAGTAGGGTCCCAGGCGGGACTCCAGGAAGGGGAGCCTCAACCCCATTCCGAGGTGTCGCGGTTGGCCCGAGGCAGCCGGGAGGAAGCGGAGGTGGTGTGAGCCGAAGCCAAACGTCAGCCAGCAGCTCCTCGTGTCTGTGCGCGACATCCTGGGGCAGGTGCGGCCAAAATGAGGCTGAGCTGGCCGGCTGTGGTCACGGGGGACCCTGCAGGCCCACGGGAGAGACAGGACCTCACCCAGGAGAGGGGACACGCTGGGGAGGAATTCAGCAGCCGCACAATCAAAGCGGCCTTTCATCTACTGAGGCGCATCTCAGTGGGTTCCCTTCAGAAGGCTAAGAGCTCGGTGGGGCACCGTTGGGGCCCTACCCACCTAACCCCAGGCAGGGCAGAATGTGGGGCTGGTCACCCGACCATGTGCACAGGTGGCCAGGGCAGGCACCCATGTGTGAGATGAAGACTGCGGAGGAGGGAAGAGGGCAGAAATGGCCACGTCACGGCCAGCAGGCTGAGGACTTGGGGAGTGTGGGAGCCAGGTACCCAGGGTGACTCGGAGACAAGGGCCTCCCACAGACCACAGCTTCTCCACCAAGCCTGAGGGTCCCTGGGAGGCCTGAGCCCCTCCCAGGAGGGCTCCTAACATTAGGGTTGAGGGTGGTATCCAGGAGGAGGTGGAAACGGATCCAGGGAGAGGGGGTGGGGTCGCACCAAATCAGTGGCCCCATGAGGTGAAGCCAGAGGTGCGGGTGCACAGGTGTGTGCTTCAGTCCCTCCACAGCGCTGCCACCAACCAGCTTTGGGGTTTTCATTTTTACTACTCCTTTGTGTTTCTCTCCTTTTTCAAATTTTAAAAATTTCAAAACCATATAAAACCATTTTGCAAACCTCCATGTGCCCATCACCCAACTTAAAAGTTACCAACACACGGCCAACCTTTGTCCATCAATACCCCCAGCGATCTTCTCCATTACGTTTGTTGCTTTGAAGCAATCCCAGATATTATGTAATGTCATTTATAAATCCTGTAGCATTAATTTCCAAAAGGGCACTTTTTAATGAAAATGTCTACAATGCCATTATCACAACTCGAGAAGAAACAGTAACATCAAACATCCAATGCTACACTTTTTTAATTTATTATTATTTATTTATTTACTGAGACGGAATCTCTCTCTGTCACCAGGCTGGAGTGCAGTGGCGAAATCTCAGCTCACTGCAATCTCCACCTCCCAGGTTCAAGCAATTATCCTGCCTCAGCCTCCCGAGTAGGTGTTACAGGTGCATGCCACCACATCCAGCTAATTTTTGTATTTTTAATAGAGATGAGGTTTTATCATGTTAGCCAGGATGGTCTTAATCTCCTGACCTTGTGATCTGCCCACCTCGGCCTCCCAAAATGCTGGGATTACAGGAGTGGGTCACCACACCCAGTTGATACATTTATTTTTTAAGGTTGATTTGTTCAAATCAGCATCCAAACAATTCCCAAGGATTTCTTTTTCCTCTATCTTATTCATCTGACATGAATTTAAGTCCAATTCAAATGTTTTCAACACTGTTAGAACAGAAATAAAGCTCCAACCACGGTCACGAGGCTCCACAGTGAGGACCTTTCCAGAAGATGCTGGCTGGCTTGGGGCACTGGTTCGGGGCCCCGACTCGGGGCCCCCGTCATCTGCTCAAAGGGTTTCTTGCCAGTACACCCTGATCAAACCTGGAATCTCCCCCAAAAGTGACACTTGCGCAATCAAGCCTCAGTAGTGGAATTATTTACTCAAAGACAATCACAAGTGTTTCTACAAGCTGGGCTTCTGACCCTGACAGAACATTTAGAAAACGAATAGAAAATCTGATCTGTGAAGTTCAAGACCAGCCTGTGCAAGACAGTGAAACCCCATCTCTACCAGAAATGCAAAAATTAGCCAGCCATGGTGGTGGGTGCCTGTAATCCCCACTACTCGGGAAGCTGAGGCAGAGAATTGCTTGAATCCAGGAGGCAGAGGTTGCAGTGAGCTGAGATCACACCACTACACTCCAGCCTGAGTGACAAAGCAAGACTCTGTCTCAAAAAAAAAAAAAGAAAAAAGAAAAAAGAAATAAAAAAGAAAATTTGACCCGTATCACCTTTGATTGGCAATGTTTACAACCAAAACAGAAATTATGATTTCTACAGAATAAAATGACGCCATGCCCACGTTTTCTCTGTGGAGAGCTGACCTACAGCCAGAGACACAGAGACGCACGACCCACACAGACACTCACCCCACAGGTTTATCACGGCAGAGAGAAGTGGACAGCGTGGAACTCCCTGGAACCTGAAAATAACAAAACAAGTGTCATTTTAAAGTTTCCTTCCCAGCCAGTCTACACGGCAGAAACACCACTGAGAGGGAACAATGACAGTTGTTCCACAGGTTTCATCATAAACAGCAAGTCAATCGTAACTACTGGCCCACTTTATCACCTCGGGCGGGTCTACACCATATCGTGTGCTTCGGGTCACCAGAGGACGCAATGCCACTAACCAGCACCAGGACGAGCTTCCCTGGGGGCCAGTGAGGCCACCCTCCAGTCAGGGCAAGGTAGGCATCGCTCAGCCTACAAAGAGTGCCCTGCCCTCCAACACAGACGTGCCCGATGACATCAGTACTGTGACTATCATGGCTGCTATTATTTACTTGAAAGAAACAATTAATGAGTGACTTTCAGGAATTCTCAATCATACCCACTCTCTTTTTAAAGAGCCTATTCAACAGGGAGAAAAGACTCGGGTTGTAATTATTTCATAGTTGATATAACCCTTCCATGTGTGTTAAGGGCTATGTTATATACTACAGAGACAGGTGAGAGAGATCTGTTATTTCAGGAAAAATGGGCTGCAATGTAGGAGTCAGAAGGCGCTCCAATACTTCAGAAGTGAGCAAATTGGGGCTCAGAGAGGGGAGCAATCTCGTCAGATGAGAGGTGGGTGGGGAAACCCAGACACCCCATAAAGGATGTCTGGGTTTATATATATGTATATAGTATATATATGTTTATATATATGTTTATATATATATATACATATATATATATATATATATAGAGAGAGAGAGAGAGAGAGAGAGAGAGAGAGAGAGAGAGAGAATACAATCTCAGAGGCAAACGGAATACACTAAAATGTACTGCAGGTTAATTCACACAATCTGTACATGTAAGACATTTACTTCAAAAAGTATTCAGTAAGCCAACATCTCAGGGTAGAACAGCAAGGGGTTCGACCAACCATGGTCCTGGGTCTTCCATGAACCCACCGTGATCTGACTGTATGTGTCCCACATCTTGATCAGACCACACATCCAAAATGCCCCGACTCCTATCGCAATGTGACGCTGGAGTACACTGGCCCAGTTCCTACAAGCGTGCTGTCGCTTCAGACCCTACATCAAGCTTAGCGTTTTACCGGGAAACGCTGGCACGTAACTTAACATATAAACAAGGATTTGTTTATGGTAACTCACTGGCAACACCATTTAACTCTCACACTGCGCATCATTCCAAGATGACCACCATACAAATACGTGACTGCTCACTGCTGGCACCACTGTGATGGGTTAGGAGTGTCACTGTCTTTCCAGCAGGGGCCCTGACAGCAGGAGGGAAGCGGGGAAGGGTCTTGGAAGGCACAAGGACTCTGCTGTCCCTGATGGAACCCAGGACCTATTTCCTCAGCTGCAGAGTAAAAGGGCAGGTCAAACCCACCAGCTCTTCTCCATCCAATAATCTCTGAATCCAGTTCAGCATTATATGCCTTGATATAGTAACTCCAGTGTTCAAATGCCGAAACCACACAAATTGCAACCACTGACCCCCCCCCAAAAAAAAAAAACCTTTTAAATCAATAGTTATATAATTTCTAAGGTCAAGGCCAATACAGGAAACTGTAATCTGTGCTATTACCACATAGAGGCCCCAGAACCTGAGTTGGTTAAAAGTCAGAAAGAGTGCTGAATCGCACAAAGTTGCTTACGTGAAGTGTTTGGAAATGCAACTTCCTGTAAAGTACCCCTGCATCACACAGAGAAACTCCTTCCTTAACCTCTGCATTGGGAAGAGGGGCAGGAAGGAGGAACTCAGCCTGTCCCCCAACAGAGCCAATTTTCTATGTAAGTCTACACCCTCTTAAAATCGAGGCGAGACCCCGCACATGTCAGGGCCACCCTCCAGGAACACAGAGAGCTCGACACCCACTCGCATCCCCGGCCCCAGACACGCATATGTCCACCTCATGCCTCCAGCCCAGATGTGCAAACCCGGGCCTGGCCACATCCAAGGCATGTGGTGCTCAGCAGCTTCCATAGCACGGCCCTGGAGAGCACTGCATGAAGCCCAGCGGAGACCTCGGTCAGCAGACATCACCATCCCTACGTCACACGTTACAGGTTGGTGACAGGGATGGTGATGAGGACATGCGGATTTGGTGGGCAGATGTGTTGGAATCCCACAGTTAAGCTGCAGTAGCACCTTCTGACACCAGAACTCTGCACTCCTTCCATCTCCTGGCTTTCAGTTGGTCCACACCCCTCCTGCACCCGCTGCCCTTGAATCACATGAACATCAGTGAGGATAAAAGTGTGCTTGGGGGAGCTGTTCTAGCCCCGTGCCCAAGAGGAGAGACAAACTGTGGCCCTTCCGTCACTTCCAAGACAGCGTCTGAGATCCGATGTGCACTAAAAGCCCCCTGAATGATTCAAGGGTTAAATCTGGACCAAGCAGAGGACATGCCTATGACAGGTCCCTCTGACACACTGGGATAGAACCCTCTCGGCTGCTTTCACTTGGACTAAAATGAGAGCCAAGCCCAATACGGAACTGGAAGGGCTGCCAAGAGTTTCTGAAATACCATGCTTGTCAAGAGGAGATTCAGCGATATGAGTCTTTATTTGAAAGTAAAGAATATGCCTACACTTGGGGTGCATAAACCTAAGCCCCTGTGTGTGCACCACAATGCATTTCATCACCGAAGGATGACTGAGAAACTAACTTGCTGTAGGTTTATTAAACCTGGCTCCTGAGAAACCACAAAGGCTAACTTCGTACAAGAGGTTTGGAAAACTCTCTCTGCTTGCAGCCACCAGTCCTGCCAATCTATGTTGCAAACTCACTCTCTCTAGGTGTTCTGAAAAGAGAGCTGCCAGCTCACGGCCTCAGAAGCCTTCCCAAGCTATGCTTTCCTCATGGACCCATCGCCGACGGCAATCAAATCCAAGTCCTTCGAGATTAGAGTTCCCATGAGATAGAAACACAAGCTGCTTCTTTTGTTCTGTCTGTTTTCCAGGGTGAAAAAAAAAACACCCAGGCAGCAAATCCTCCCACCCAGCCTCTGCCCAGCCCACGCCTCCTTCACCTGTGTCCCTGTTGGCGTACACTTACCATAGCCTTCAACTCCCAACAGTGCTAAGGGCAAGAAGGGGAAAGGGATAAGGCCCAGGCAGAATCTGCGGTTAAGGTGAAACCTGAAAAAAGGAAACCTGAAAAGACCACCCCGTTCCTGGCTGCCTTTTTTTTTTTTTTTTAAATCAAGCTCTCACTTTGTTGCCCAGGAGTCGCAAAGTGGCGTGACCATGGCTCCCTGCAGCCTCTTCTCAATGACCTCTCAGGCTCAGATGATCCTCCCAAGTAGCTGGGACTAGGTGTGTGCCACCACATCTGGCTAATTTTTTTTTTTTTTTTTTTCTAGAGACAGGATCTCGCCATGTTGCCCAGGCTGGTCTTCAACTCCTGGGCTCAAGTGACCCACCAGCCTCGGACTCCCAGCGTGCTGGGATCACAGGCCTGAGCCTCTGTGCCCAGCCAAGCTGCTCTTTTTTTTTTTTTTTTGAGACAGAGTCTCTGGAGTGCAGTGGTGCGATCTTGGCTCACAGCAACTTCTGCCTCCCGGGTTCAAGCAATTCTCCTGCCTCAGCCTCCCAAGTAGCTGGGACTACAGGCACATGCCACCATGCGCAGTTAATTTTTGTATTTTTTAGTAGAGATGGGGTTTCACCATGTTGGCCAGGATGGTCTCCATCTCTTGACCTCATGATCCACCTGTCTCGGCCTCCCAAAGTGCTGGGATTACAGGCAGGAGCCACTGCGCCAGGTCCAGGCTACTCTTTAGAAGCATTTTCCTTCTACAGGTCTTGCAGCTCATCCTGGCCACGTGACAAAGTGGCCCTGTGGGCTCAATGAAGTCACTAACCTCCCTTTCTCTTCTGGTAAAATGACAGGTGCAGATCGAACACTTGGAAGCCATCCCAGCCTTGGACTCCCTGAGTCAGAAATTGAGGAGAAGCATTCCTCGGGTAAAGAATTAGATGCACTGTCTGGAGGGTCACTCTTGGTCCACATGTTTGTTTGTTTGGTTTGTCTGTTTTGAGATGGAGCTTTGCTCTGTCACCCAGGCTGGAGTGCGGTGGTGTGATCTCGGCTCACTGCAACCTCCAACTCCTGGGTTCAAGTGATTCTCCTGCCTCAGCCTCTGGAATAGCTGGGATTACAGGCATGCACCACCACACCCAACTAATTTTTGCATTTTTAGTAGAGACAGGGTTTCACCATGTTGGACAGGCTGGTCTCGAACTACTGACGGCAAGGGATCCGCCCACCTTGGCCTCCCAACCACATACTTTTTGAAATTATTAATGGTCATTTCTTTTGCTAAGAAGGTTATTGTTTTATTACTTAAAACAAACATAGCAATAGCAATTTTGCAGCTGTGGGATAGGAAACCATATGGCTAGAGAGAGAGACAGAGAGAGAGAAGAGAAAGGGAGAGAGAGAAGAGAGAGAGAGAGATAGGACAATGACTTCCTGTTGCCCAGGAGATTTGGGGTCAAGACACACTTCGTAGTATCGATGCAGACTGCTATGCACTTCCTAGTGTGTTGCACACAGCAGGCAAGAGCTGGCTAAGTGTCAGGAAGGCAAACACAGCCATTCTGGGAGAAAGCAAACCAGCCTCATGGCAAAGCACACAGGTTCCACATCAGCCTGTCTGGGTCCAAGTTCAGGGTCCACCACTTGGCACCTGCTGTCTTGGAAAAGGTTCTCCACTCGCCTTAGCCTCATCTTCCTCCTCTTTCCAGGACTGAGCTCCTGTCCCGACCTCACCTTGGGGTTAGCTATCCATGCATGGCATGCTAGGGCAAATCTGCTTTTCACAGTGAGCCTCCAGCACGTGGTCCCGCAGTGACCCGGCAGTCCTTTGTCACGCAGTGACCCTTCTGCAGGGCACCATCCTGCAGTGCACTATCCTAGCACATCCTCTTATGCCTTCTCCCTAAAGACCCCACCC